AAAGCTGTAGTTAGGGTTTTTAGCACCGGGGACAACTGAAGATTTTGCGCCCCCTTTTGTATGCCAAGAATGAAAAACATCTTATTCTAAAATTTTGTTACATCAATTCGACATCCCATGGGTGCTATGCTCAGGAACACATGTCCCCCCTTGCCCCACTCTAGCAATGCCACTGACGAATCACTGAGACATATAAGATGAATCCTTAAAATTGTCAGTTTTCAATTTCTTTATTAATATAAAAATTTCTTTCTATAAATGCCTGTCCATGTGATCAGATTAGAAGAATTTTTGATATTTCCCATGCTTGTGCCTAGTGAGAAGTAGAGAGAAGGTAAACTTGGTACAAAAAAACACTTCTAGTATCAGAAGTAAAACATTCAAACATTACATTTTTATTGTTTTTAAAAACATTCACCAAAAAGTAAAAATTCATCACAAACTTTCTGTTAAATGCATCCATTATGTGTTAATACCATGAAGACATTATTCTGGAATCTTTTAGATTCGTCTGTAAATCTTGCCTTCAAATCCTTCTAAACTTTCCAAGTTGCCAAGCCTAAAATCCTAAAGAAAAATTAGCCCTACCAATGAATGAGGTATTATTAAGACAGCAAGCATTACAGAAGGCAATACTTTGTATTTAATACACCCAATCATATTTTTTAATTTGGCAATTTCTCCCCATGCTATATCAATACGCAAATCTACAATTTCTTTCAAATCATCTACTTGATACATGGAAAATTCAATTTCTACTTGATTAAGGCATTTTTCATCAATAATGGATGGAAAAGTATTCATCAAGTAAAGAACAGATGAAAATGAGACTTCAGTTCTCAAGTTGATGTCAGCAACTTCAGCATGTTTTAGAAATGGATCACTCAGTGGAAATTTATCAATTATATATGAACATGCAGTTACAAAAAAAGCTCGCACAGAATTGAAAAATGATTTCACTTCACTTTCATTCAACTTGGCATTTTTTAAATATAGTTTTGTTTCCGCACCAATCACTAACTTTTCATTTTCTTTTTGTTTACTATACTTCTGAAATGGAATAGACGTTAGAGTAACATCTTCATTTTCTTTAGAAATTACTGATGGTTTTACGAATCTAACAAATAAATTCATTAAAAGTTCAAAAAGTTCTCTTCTCAATTTATGTATATAAGGAGCTTGTTGTTGCAAATTAATATTTACTGTTATAAACAAAGGCAAAGTATTTTTCAAAAATAACAAGTACAATTTGGTGGTCGGTGACTGTAACATTTTTTTTAATGTTTTGCAATCTCTTTCCTTCATTCTCACTGTTATCTGGTTTATCTCCAAAAAAATTTATCACAGCATCCCACTGTTCCAAAATCCTTGTTATAGATTCTAAAAGAGACAACCATCTCGTACTGCAATATTTCAAAATTTTATGAGATTTTGCATTCTGTCCCAAAATTTGTTGAGCAACTTTGAAGCTATGCTTCCGTTTCGAACTTTTCTCCAAGTAAAAATATATATCTATTATCAACATTTCAATTTCTGAGCCAATTAATTTTTCAGTAGCTTTTTTTGCAGCTATATGCAAGAGGTGGCACGGACAACCTCGGGTGATTATACTTGGTTGATGCATTTTGATAAATGATGCTACACCTTTAAACTTTCCAATCATATTACTAGCATTATCTGAAGAAAATGATAAGCAATTTTTCCATTCTAAACCTTTGTTTTTAAAGTTTTCATTTATACAATTAAAAAAATACCTTCTCCTGTATTATTCGTGCATTCTAAAATAGAAATCAATGAAGTAATTATCACTCCCTTTTCTTTACTGTAGTATGTTATAACCAATGGGTACAGTTTGTTATCATTACTTCCATCAGTACTTAGAGAAAATGATGTACTGCACACTGATTTTATAATATCAGCAACAGTATTTTCTGCAAGCGTTTTTCACAATAGGAGCAGTTTTGGTATGACCGCAGCTAAATTTTTTTGCTATGGCAGAATCCGGAAACATTGCTTTGAAAAGCTCTTTGGAATGATCCTGAAACAGAAAGCGGTAGATTATGTTCAATTAAAAAAACGAACAAAATAGCATTCGGCTTTTATAGGATCTGTTTCATCATCTTTTATTAAGAAATTTGTTATTTCTTTAGATTTTACGGTGCCAAGTTCTATATGCTTTTGAGAAAACACATGCCGTTTACAGTCATCTTTTCCGCCATGAGCAACTGAGAAGTCTTTGTTGCATACACTGCAGTGCGCGTGATTCACAGAAATTTCGGACGCTTTAATGCATGGAAATTCTGAAGAATATGAATCTTTAAACTTCTGCTTTGATAATTTTGGCTTCTTCGTTCGAGGCAGCATTATGATTAAAAATCTTTCACCTGATTCACAGTTCACAAAGACACACGCTAAGCTCTCGCCGTAAACTACACAATGCAGCCGAATGCAGCCTAAACACGCATCAGCGAGGAACCTGGGAGACAGACAATTGGGTGGAACTATTGATAAGTCGTTAACGGTTAGAGTTACTGATCGACGATTGGCTAATTCTTCAAAACTAGGAACGCACTCAACACGTGATATATGATAACACGAGTATTCAGCCAATCATCGGATGAATTAGTTGGTTCCGTTTTGCGTACTGGTTCTCCTGCTCTTGTTTCTGTAAAATCCGTAGTTTTTTCAATACTTTTTGTAGCTCGTAGTTTTTCATGAATTTCCGTAGAAACTACGGAGAATCCGTAGTAGTTGGAGTCTATGAATATATAGAATATCGCCTCTCAAACGACCACTTCTGAAAGTGACCAATAGTTCTGAGATTATAAATAAATATTGATATTAAGCATTATTTCTATAAGACGACCATCTCTATATAAGACCAAAGTTTCTAGAATCTTGGATAGTCATCAGAGATGTATCTTTACTGCGAAATTATCGCACGACTGTAATTCAATATCAATAACAGATCGCGCGATTGAAAAACGTTTTCTGTCCTGTAATTAGAGGAAAAAAATTTTCCTTATGAGGTATTTCTCCCGCTTTCCTAGCGTGCCTTCGTGGTGTAATAGTTCTGCACGCTGGGCCGGTATTTCAGAGGTCCGTGGTTCGATTCACGGCGAAGGCGGTTGCTAATTTTTCATCTCTACGGCTTCCCAAAAAAATCCTAATGTCTCTACAGTGGCGCCCGAACTAAAAAGGTGTTGGATGAGGTACATCCACACCCAGGATTTAGTGATTGGATCCCCTTAAAAAAAGTCGGCCTTTAAAAAGAGAAGTAATATAAGGTATTTCTCCCGCTTTCCTAGCGTGTCTTCGGCCCACCAGTGTCCGAGCGGTAAAGTCGCGGAACCCTTGTAGTGCGATCCGAGGTTCGAATCCCGCGAACGGGCTGGCTGCATGGGTGTTTTCGTGTTTTCCCCACGTGTAACGTGTATACGAGCCAGTTTCCCTTAGAAAGTCCTCCACGAAGACATCCCTTCCCTTAGGCAGATAGCCCTAGTGTGCTTTGCCATAATTAAATACACCACCATCACACCTAGCGTGTCTTCGTGGTGTAGTGGTTCTGCATACTGGGCCGGTATTCCAGAGGTCCGTCCTTCTATTCCCGGCGAAGGCAGTTGCTAATTTTTCATGTTTCCTGCTTCCAAAAAAATACCTAATGTCTCTATTTAAATTTTAAAAAAAATTCGTTTCCGTAATTAAATATATCTATATCTAATTTTACCTATATTTGTAGTAGGGTTGTAATCTGTAAGTAATTATACATGTAATTTATACATTTTTTATAAAAAAAATATATGTTATTTAGAATTTTGCAAATATTCTAGAAAATGCTAATCCATTGAAAAAAATCTTTTCCATGACAAAATTAAAACTGGTAAATTTGAGAACAAATATACTCAAAATGTTTGACAACGAAAGTCCTCCGGACAATGCAGAATGAATGTCCTCAGGATGTGAAATTGGTGAACTCCTCAGGACATCTGAGAATCAACATCTTCAGGACATCCTGTCATATCCCGGGACATAGCGACTTAAATAAGACATCCTCAGGATGTTAAATTACGATCTCCTCAGGACATCTGAGAATCAACATCCTTAGGACATCCTAAGTATGTCCCGGGATATTGCGACTTAAATAGGACATCCTGAGGATGTTTTGTGCTATGGGGGTAGTTTTCCACACGAAGGTGGTAAATTGACTGTTTAATACATCAGCAAGTGCGAGTAAGCACTAATCAGTTATGTGGTAAGACTGGTAAAACTATACAGAATCCTGTTTGTATCAAATGGCACTTGTAGTTAATCTAATTTGTACCTTTTCTGATTATCTTTATTAAATGTTCTGTGGTGTGGAAAACAACGTTGGAATTGTTATTTAGCATCTTCAACTCCCCCACTACATATATGTACAATTACATGTTTAAAACCAACACTATTGCATTATTTGATTACACATTTTTCAATTTTGGTTCAGTTTCTTTTGAGAAATAAAAAAAAAAAGTATTTATTATTTTAAATTTGAATACTAGTGTAGAAATGTAATATCCTAGAATTTTGATGAATTGCTTCAACTCCTTTGAAGCTATATATAGATAAACATTCCCCCATTCTTAAAATTATTTTATTTAGCTCTTTGGGGGTTCTGACCATCATAGTTTTCTTGCAATCATTTTGCATTTGCTCCTTCTTATTTTGCACTCCCTCTTTCTTGTACGTTTAATAATATTATGTAATTCTGAAAATTTATTACACCAAGCCTAGTATAAAATTATTATTCTCTTAAAAATAATGTTTCGTTTACTTATATTTCTGTTGCTATTTGTTCTAGTAGGTTTTGCTTATTTCTAACTACCCTTAACCTAATACGACATATTAATTAATTTTTAATTTATTTATTACAGATAAATATTAAAAACAAAAGCATACAAAACAATATTTTAAACAACCCACTGTAACAAATTTAATAAGAGTAAAATGAAGGAAATAATTTTTACCTGCCCATCAACAAGCAAAAGCGAATAGGTTGATAAAAATGGAATAGCCTTATCTACATGCTCATACAGTTTAGAAGCTGGCAATGATGAAGGCAGTTTCAGGAGACCAGGATGACCAATGAGATTTTTCTCTTTCAAAATATCTTCTTGAAACACATCGTGGCGCATAACAATTGGTATAGCAATTGTACTAAAGAATAAAATAAAATATTACCAAAAATTTAGGTACAAGGTAACATTTTTAATATAGTGCTTGAGCTCTATAAGTAAATATTATTTAACCTAACAATAAAAAAACATTAGGAAATATTGCTGTTTGAGGTACATATTTTTGATTTTCAATGAAGTTCTTACACATTACAACGCAGAATGTGCCATAAGGTGTATGCAAAAACAAAGGTTTCCAGTGTTAAACTGAAGGATACACAAATGACTATGCATGATATGTTAGTCAGCACTTCGAAGACATGGTAGTCATTTTCAGCAGTTTCTATAAAAGGATACATTTTATCTACCCCCCTTTTTTTTGTAATTCTAGAGACTAATACTATACCCTTAAAAAAAATTTAAAAAAAAAAAAAAAAAATACAAAATGAAGCTTAGAGAGTACTCTCAAGTTTTACCAGTGATTAATTATCAAGTCTGGCAACATTTATTGGCAAATCATACGACAAAACTAAAAAAATAACCCAAACCAAGAAATAAGAACTATTTTTTTTTTAATTTAATGATTAAAATGATGACAATTTTCAATTTACCATCAAGTGAAAATGAAACAACCGCATTTTTTCAAAAAAAGATGAGAAAAATAATTTTAAACCTCAAACCAAAATTTTGAAAACAGGCATGAAATGAAGTTACACAATACAGCAGAAATCATATGGAGATGCAATATGAAAAGTGCCATAATGGGAAAAAAAAAAAGCCTCTGCATAAGCAATTGATTCAATATTTTAAAAATCATATTCCTGATAGTAGCAAGCTGATATTGATAATTCATGGCCACCTGAAAAATAAAACATATATATACATATTTTAATACTAATTCACACTTTTGAAAAGTTCTCTTTTTTTTTTCATACATTTTCATTAAAATTCCATTATTTTTATGCAATGGTTAAAATTAACAAGAAATGATTAGATTTCAGTAATCTTTCAAATGCACTGTATAATACAACAGACTAGTTTATAATACCTCCAAAAGAAATAAAAATAACATTAAAAACACCAAACTGGACCAAAAAATATCAAATTTGGACACCCTGATAAACTAGTAACAGCTATTATAACAACTTAGTAAATCCCGGTAAAAGAACCCTACAATATTTGCAATGAATCATATTTTCAAGCAATTATTTCTTTCTTCATTACTTTTGAATAAATTCTAACATTGCCATTTTTAAAAATATGGAAAAAGCTTTTAAATTCCTTATGAAACTGATAAAATGGCATAATTTTTATGCTTGGAATTGAACAAATTTTTAGATGAGTTCAAATCTAGTAAAAATATCAGGTTTCATATGTATATACCCCTTTGCTTTTGTAATAAGTTCAATTTTAAATAAATATCTAAATTATCAAAATCAGTATCCAAAGTTGGAATGATCCTTAAAATTATTATTACAATGTTATTAATTCAAAAAGCATTTGTAAATATTTCAATAAAATAATTATGCAGCTACGTTGGTATCAAAAATTAGTATATTCTATGAAAAAAAAAGACAGCTGAACTATAACAACCAATTACGCAGCTCAACTGTTTTCATAAATGACAGACCTTTTTTTTTTTTTTTTTTTTTTAAAATTCATTTATAAAACTAGCCACTTGCGCTGGCAGCCACCTAAAACAGTTATTATACTAAAATGCTTTTAATGAATCCAACTAACATAAATTCACACACCCAGGTAGCAATCCATAATAATTGAAATGAATATTGTGTTTACTGTTATTAAATTTTTTCCATTCTGTTGAATGACAATGCACTGCAGTGTGGGAGATAACAATATTTTAATCCGGTTATTAAACAATAATATTTTTAATCATTCACATTTAAAGACAACACACTTCTGTCAAGTGATAAATTTTTTGATTAAATTCGAAAGACAAATATATCGCATTTCGCAGAGTGGCAACAGTTCTTTGATATCTCTGAGTTTTTCAATCAAATTAGAAATACAAATACCTTATGCTTTGCTGAGAGACAAAACTCTTATTTTAAACCACTGTGTATTTTATCAAAATTTCATTAAATTTGCACAAAATACAAAAAAAAAAAAAAAAAAAAAAAAACTTTGAAATTTAAAATTTGGGTTTGAAGGCATAGCACTTTTTCTTCAGGGTGAGGAAAATATATACATAATATATATACTACAGACACAGGAGGTAACACAGATAAATTTAATTGGGTCGTAGATATGGCAGCTACAACTGTAACAACAAAACAAAAATTTAATGATAAACTTTGAGGAAATAGATGTTATGTCTCTAGCTGTAGGAAATTGTGAAAGTAAAGTACTAGGAAAGGGTACCCTCAAATTTGCAGTAAAAGTAGGCAGCCGAATAAATTGCATTGTGTTAGAAATTGTATTGCATAATCCAAATCCAAGAAGAAATTTACTATCGGGAGCAAGGTTAGAAAAGGCAGGTGTCCATCTTATGGGTTCAAACATAAAGATATGGATATATTTTAATAATTGGCATAGGTCATGTTACGCGAAACGATATAATGGACTTTATCATCTAAAACCACTTACATATGCAACAGGTAAAAAGGAAGATGGTTACAGTATAGAAACTGTAAAGTTAAATACAGTAGACAATGCGAAGCTATGGCATCGAAGATTTTGCCATGTAAATTTTGGTTATATAAAGAATACTAGTAAAAACCAAAACATGAAAGGTTTACTGGAAATCGAAAAAAATATGGAGAAGTGCAAACCTTGTATTCTTGTTAAATCTAGTAGAATAACTTTTAAAACTGTTCCTAAGAGATCCAAAAAACCATTGCAGTTGGTTTATTTAGACGTTTGTGGCCCCCTCCCAGTTTCATCTAAAGGTGGAAGTAAATATTTCCTCGCAATCGTAGATGACGATAGTAGATTAGTAACAATATATTGTATGAAATAAAAATTAATTTTATTTTTACAACAGTCCCTGCATTTATTTAAGCAATGCAAAGTATGCTTTTGCGACTGCTCCAACGCCAACAATGGATACAACTGATGCACCACAATGACAGCCAGTTTCCAGACAAGTTTACAACACTACCTAACGCAGCCATGAGTGTCAACCACAGAAACAGTTACACAGCTGAAGTCAACAAGCAATGAAATTCAGCAGATGGTGTACTCAACGAATGACAGAGAGGAGATGTATGAAGGACTACAAACACATCAAAAAAGCTAATTTTCTTGTGGTATCTTCAATTGAAATGTTCCTCCAAATTTAAGGCAATTTAACATGCATGTTGTAGATAACTTGCAACTTAAGAAATGCAATTGGCTGGGATTAAATGTAAAAATTTCATTGTGAGAGATTGCAAATGACTTTGAAAATATTTTAAGTTCTGGAAAAGTTAGTTGTTTTGAAATTGTAATATATGCTGAAATATTTATTCTGGAAACGTCACAAATTGATTTTTTAAATTGCTAAGTATGCTTAAACATAAAAGTAGCATTCTTATTTTAACTATCTGTTAATACAGAATTGAATGAGGAAAATAAACTAAACCTACAGCCAAAAACACACGAGTCAAATGTGAAATTTTAGTCAGAGTAAATTTTGTAGAGCTAGGGTGCTGATGTTAATATGCAGTCTGTACTAACACACTATAGAGAATCAACTAGGGGTAGCTGTAGGCAAAAAGACAACAGGTAAACTTTTGTCCTTTCAGAACAAACTGTGCAAATACCATAAGGTGTTTTTTCCTTCCAAGTCAAACTGTAAGGATATGCAAAATTTTATGCAAAATTACATAATATAATAAGCACAAAAAGCTGAAGTAGCATTAATATGCAAGTATACAAGCATTAAAATACTTTTTTATAAAGTCCAATAGAAGACTTGCATTCAAAGCTCTTTCTTCTGGAAGAGACAGGTATGGCAGGGAAGTTACATTTTTCTCACAAGTTACACAAGTTTTAAACAAGTTACATTTTTCAAGTTACAGTTGAATTTCTGGATCTAAAACTGATGATTCAGGACATAACTATAGATTACATACAGTTAATAAGAATTTTATTGCATAGTTAATTTTAAAATAATAATTATTACTTTTACCACTTTTAAATTTATAGGCATGTATGTACTCAGATGATGCCCTAATGACTGAGCTATTCATGAAATTATACTAAAGGCAATATTTTGGATTTCGGAATAAAAGGATTCATCTTAAGACTATATTCTTGTACCTTATTCTACAACATGTGTTCTAAGAAAAGTTACACGTTGCCTTTGATGTCATTCAGTCCAGCAGGTTTTGGATAACACCAAATGTTGTACTGTTTTAAAAGAAATTGTAAACAATACAATGTTAGAAACCATATATGCATTTATGACATATTTTGTCATCATTCATTTTAACAATACATAATAAATCTAAAAAATTCATCTCAGTTTCATGAATTGTAAAGATCTGACTTTATGCTGACTCTCGGATGCAACTAGAAAGTTCCACACCTTGTATTTAAAATAAAGGAAAACTCAAAACTGGATACAAAAAATAAATAAGTAATATATATATATATATATATATATAAAAGGGAAAATGACAGATGGCTTTGTCTGCATGTGAATCATAAACAAAATTGCCAGAACAACTAATGAGAATGCATACAATTTGTGTTCAGGCAAGTATAATTTACGTCTGTTGCGTATTGTCATAGATTAATCAAAGGAACAAAGAGTTTGTGCAAAGTTCCATTTTCAGCTTTGGCTGAAACCCATAAAACACTGAAAATATATTGCCATGTTGCAATGTCCTGTTCTCGCACTTTTGAGTGGTATTTAAAGATTCGTGATGAAAGAGGAAGTGTAAAGGACTTTAGTCTTGACCAATCCTCTGGTACACAAACACAAGTAAGAGTTATAAAAATGATTGTTGACTGACATTTAAGATGCTTCCAGATGAGCTAACTTAAGTTATACAGTTCATATAAATCTGATACAAGATCTAGGTAGCAGAAAAATTTCTGCAAGGTTTGTGTAACATTTTCTAATGGCTGAATGCAATGCAGGATGGAAACTTGTAAGGACTCAATCAAAGCTTCAGGTAGTGACTCTCTCCATTTTTGGGGGTGGGGGGGGAGCTTAAAATGCAATGGGTGATGAAAGCTGAATTTATCAATACGCAGAATTAAAATGAAAGCTAATAAGAATGGCTGTCAACACAAGTTATGCTTTGCATAACTTGGTGATTAGCATCACTTTTACAAATCTATAGTAAAAGTGATGCTAATCACTTTTACTACAGATTTTGCAAAGCATTGTTGTTATGCCTCAATTTCAGAAAAAAGATTATCTGTTCCTCTTGCATTTAATGCAAGGATCACATACTGCTGTTAAAGTGAAGCAGTTCTAAATGGGGGGGGGGATAGGAAATAATCACCTTCTTTACTCTGCTGATTTGGCACCATAAGACTATTTTCTTTCCCTCAAACTGAGAAATGTTATTGATGTGATATTCAAAGACGTGTGACAGTTTAATTTTGGCACATATCTTCAAATGATACAAAATATGTTTCAATATATATAGTTGCCCACTGAAGTGTATAAGAGGTGATTATTTTGAAGAATATTGAAACAAATTTAGAACAAACATTCCTCCTTCAATTTTTTAGACAAACCCTATTACTTATTGTATTTTTTTACATACCTAATTTTAAATTTGTAGTCTCCAATTCTAGTGAGAGGAACAAAATCATCTGTGGGTGATACAGATGAACTGCATACCTGAAAGAAATCAAACATATTTTTTCATTTTATCTATATATGTCAGATACATATAAAAAGAAAATAAACAATTTTTAAAATTTATATCAATACAACAAAACAATTTTATCTATTATTTAAGTACCCAGAAAGAAAAGAAGAAGGTTTTTAAGGTGGAATTTTTCAAGAAATCACAAAAGTTACACACAATAACTCTCTAAAAAAAAGTTAATAATTTTTAATCATACTCACTGGACAAATAAAAGTAGCACCTCCATAATGTTTGCATGAAACCTTAAAAAAAAAGTAATACATAACTGAAATTATATAAACAAAACTACAACTGCCAGTTAGAAATGATAATCTTTCCAAACATTATAAATATTTTCACTACACAGAAGAAAACCCTTTTATTTACTTAGCAGCATACTTGAATGTTTATAATCTTTCAAGTAGATTGGAAAACACCAGCTAAATATCAGTGAACCACACGTAACTGCTGTGTGCCATATGCACTGCAAGGGGAAACCAGTTTTATATCTCCCATTCTACTGACCCGATTGACGAAATTCAACTTGCATTTTTTATGTCTTCGGATATATATTACATTTATGTCGACTTCGGATATATATTACATTTATATATAGCATTATTCTCACACAGGTATTCTGACACAAAATCAGACTTTTTTCTGAAATGGCATGCCATTTTTTTTCCATGTTTCGATTCTACCACTCAAATTGTCAAGTTTTGTGAAAATCACACGAGTACCTTTTAAAAAATTAGCTGCTCAATCTTAATTGAGTTTGGTATACACTGGTGTGCAAAAATTAAGGACAAAGTCGAAAAATTAGCATATCAGCTGAACGAAGAGGCGGAGCAGACAGAAAGACCAATCAGGAGATTAAGTAAGGTGATGTAGGGTAGCACATGCGCAGATATGCAGGTAGACGTAATGGGGGAGCGTCTGAGTAGTAGAAAGCATGTTGTCGGTGTAAGATCAGTATTTCTGGCAAAGAGATTGCACGCTGTATAGCAGTTAAAATCACACCGAGTTGCTGCCTCAGCGAGAAATGGCGAATAATCAATCTGTTAGACGGCATCTGGCTTTTATTTTTACCCGAGGTCGAATCATTGGGAAGTTGGAGGAAGGCCGCAGTGTGACAAGTGTGGCTGCAGAGTTCGGAATTGCTCACAGCATCGTTTCACGACTTTGGAAACAATATCAAACTACAGGAACAGCTATCCGGGGGTTTAGTAGTGGTCGTCCACGAGGAACCACACCCGCACATGACCAGTACATTGCCTTACAGGCCAGAAGAAACAGGCGGCAGACAGCGGAAGAAATCGCTAGACACACGACACAGGCGACTGGACGACCGATATCGTGTTTTATTGTGGCCAGAAGACTGCACGGTGGTGGTCTGTTTGCACGACGCCCTGTACGGTGTGTGTACCTCTAACGCCTGTCCATCGGAGAAGGCGTTCTCTGTGGTGCCGGGAACACCGAAATTGGAGAGACCATGAATGGGGATGAGTACTCTTTACAGATGAGAGCAGATTCAGTCTGAGTAGCGATTCTCATCGCATACTCATCTGGAGAGCGCAATCATCCCTCGAACATCATTGAAAGGGACAGGTATGGAGGTGGCGGTGTTCTCGTTTGGGGAGGCATCATGCTTGGTAGTCGTACAGACCTTCACATCTTCGACGCAGGTTCAGTCAACGGGACCCGTTATTGTAACGAATTCTTCTTCCATACGTGCGTCTTTTTAGAGGCGCTATGGGTCCTTTTCATGGACAACAATGCACCATGTCATCACACAGTAGCTGCCGAACAGCTCTTAGAGAGTGAGGACATTGAACGTATGGATTGGCCGGCACGATCTCCGGATCTCAATCCCACTGAGCATGTATGGGATTTTCTTGGCAGCTCATGCCTTACCACCAGTAACGATTCCGGAGCTTCGATTGGCGCTGCAAGACGAATGGGCAGCAATGCCTCAAAAACTCATTGACACTCTCATTCTCAGCATGGGCAGACGCTGGGAAACCTGCCTAGCAGTCAGGGGAGATCATATCCCCTGTTAAAGACCGGATGTTTCTTACTGGACACCCATCACAGGGATATTTCGGCCTTCAGTCACATTGCGCTCCATGCTACTTTTCATAAAGCTTCTTTTTTATCCATCTGATTTCTCTTTTAGTAAGTGTTGCTTACATTACTCATGTCCTTACGTATTGGGGATCTTACAGTATTAAATGTGTTGATTTGGAAAGCCTTTGTACAAAGTTATATTGAAAAAACCGTCTTGTCCTTAATTTTTGCACACCAGTGTATATTTATTAATATCTCTTTTTTGTTAAACTTATTTGATTCTTCCTTTCCCCTTTCGAAATTTAGGTTCATTCCAAATAAAATTTGCCATTTTTTTAGGATTTATTTTTTTAAATTTGTATTTTTAAATACACTGGTTATCATAAATTAAGGAAAAATCACAAAAAATAGCAATAACTCCCTCAAAAATAAGCCAAACCGTGTAAAATTTGAATATGTTGCCAAGTAAGAGTAGCTGAGTAAAACTGTGATATGCAAATTGGTGGCACTGCTTTCGGAATATGTCATCTGCGAGGAGCATAAAAGTCCATGTTTGAGAGCAAGCCACATATTTAACTGTGACAGTGACATCAGAAATCTGAGATAGCCAATTCTTAACAATGACCTCCAGGCACCCTTTGCCTGCAGAACTGCGATGGAGAACCATTGGGAGACTAGAGGCAGGACAAAGTCAAACAGAAGTGACCAAATGGCTAAATGTGAGTCCTTCTGTGGTTCATAGACTGGAGGCAATTTCAAACCACAGATTCGGCATCTAGGAGGTTCAGCCTAGGATGGCCAACTGCTACGATGAGCGCCGATGACGGATATTTGACATTATGTGCACGCAGGAATAGAACCGATACTCCGACTCTTCTTATATCCTCCCTTGCTGCAGCCACTGGAAGGTTCGTGTCAACATCAACTGTGCGTAGAAGGCTTCACAAAGGTGGTCTGTATGTGAGGCAACCAGCCATTTGTGTTCCGCTCATGTCACGCCTTAGGAGGGACCGTTTTCAGTGGGCACGACATGTCCACTGGGCGCCAGATCAATGGAGGGCGGTTCTCTTTACGGATGAGTCCAGGTTTAGTCTAGAAAGCGATAGTACATGTTATTTGATATGGAGAGAACCTAGAACCTGTTATCATCCGTCAAACATCCATGAAAGATATGCATACAGAAGGGGCAGTGTCTGTGTTTGGGGTGGCATCTCTTTGGGTGGAAGCACAGACCTCCATGTCTTTCCAAGGGGAACCGTGAATACTCAGATTTATACAGATGACATCCGTGATGTTTATGTGCGCCTATATGCCGGGGCAATAGGTGATGCTTTCCTGTTACAGCACGACAACACAAGACCACACAGGGCTCACATCGTAGATTATTATCTTCAACAGGAAACAATTATGCCTGTGGAGTGGCCAGCTCGATCCCCGGATTTGAATCCTATCGAGCACGTTTGGGATGCTTTAGAGAGACGTCTAGCTGCCCTCAGTCCCTTGCCGCGTTTGCAACAGCTTTGCAAGAGCAATGGCTCTCGCTTTCTATAGAACTGATCGACCGGATAATTGAAAGCATCACGCATCACTGTATGTGCTGTATTGCTTCTAGAGGCGACCATATTCCCTATCGAAGGTACTTTTCCTATAGCAAACTGACTCCTTCGATTTGTTCATTTTATACATGTGCTAATTTCTATACTACCATATTTGTCTGGTAATTTCTTTTTATATTATTTGATACCTTATTATGTGTTGTATATTGTGGGTAAGTTTCATTAAATTCTACATGTAACTTTTTCAGTAATCCTGATTTTTCCTTAATTTATGATAACCAGTATAATTTTTATAAATTTTTCAAAAGAAAGATTTCTAAAGAAAAATTATTTAAATTACCAAAACATCTACGGTATATATCTCAGAAACTTTATAACTTATGTGTAGATTCAGTTGCTACATAAGATTTACAAATGGGCCATTTTGAATTAAAAGGAGAAGAGAAAGGAAGTAAACATGAAACAGAATTATAAAGTAAAAAATTATAATTTTAATTGTTAAAAAATAAAAAATAATAAATAGAAGTTACACATTTTAATATAAACATTTAGAAGAATAATGAATAATGAATGAGACTTTAGAATGATTATTTTACTTAAATTACTTAAAATATTAAATTTTATCTTCGATTTCATCATAGTTTATTACATGATTCATGATTACCAAATGTAAGTTTTTCATGTTTTCTTTTTTTTTTTTTTTTTACTTCAATACATCCTGTATTTACATTAGCTTATAACAAATGTAGAGAGGCTAAATCTTTTTTCAGTCTATCAAATAAAAACCACATACTGGGATGGCTATAATTAAATAATGAATTTAGTGCATTATGAGAGCCTTCGCAACAATTTGTGGTTTTAGATTTTTCAAAGCCTGCTTCATAATGTTCAACTGAGAGGCATCATCAAAGTGTGCCTAAAAATGTTAATTTATTTCTAAAATTTTAAATTTCTGCGAAATTTTACAACTTTTTTTTCACTCAAAACTTGAATAACTACCATCAAACATCAATTTCCTAATATACATCAAAAGTATGCAAAAATAGAGTAGAGAAACAAAAATTAATTATTAGCAGTTACAGGGAAAAAATGTCGTACAGGGTATAAAATATTACAGTACATGCAAAATTTTATTACAGTTTTCATGCTTTTATTTATCGCCCCTGAAAAGGTTAATGTGAGCATTTGTCCATGTGAACATATTTCATGTGAGCTTTTTTTCGTGTGAGCATATTTCTAAGTGAGCATTTTTCTATGTCAGCTTTTTTCTATGTGGGTATATTTCCTTGTGGGCTTTTTTCCTGTGAGCTTTTTTCCTGTCGACATTTTTCCGACCATATCATACACAGTCCGTGTGGCAATTCCATATGATTCTGCTGTAAACTGAGCAGTAGCCCTTATCTCCATCTTTAGCAGAATTTTCACTTTTTTCATTACCATCAACGCAACGTGTTTACGTTTTTCTACGCTGAAAGCAGTCTGAGTGCGTTTCTTATCTTCTGTCATTGTATTAAAAATATTTTTAATTTATCCACAAAATATCTGGATAAAAAAAAAAAAAAACGACATCACTAAACAACCTTGTGAAATAACAAAGCTCAGAAAGTACAACAGTGTGAACTAGAAAGAAGAGATGAGTA